TGCTCTCAACAAAGTAATAATGGAACCATTTTTGCTTAGTCTGTTACCCATAAGGTTGTTGCCTGATCGCGTACGAGGCACGCGTGGAGGGATGTGTAGCCATGTGGACCACTACGTCTTGGGGGTTGACCGGGACAGGGTGATCACTGAGGAGAGCTTCCAGTGGACGCTACTTAAACCTGCCTCACAATTAACTAATGCGAGAGCAAGTCACTTGTGATGCGTCCAGTGGTAGGTGTTGTAGTTTCTCACAGTTAAACTTTCGTCATCACTTTAGCCTAATTAATTTATTGATTTTTCTTGCTGTTGGTGGCTTGTGTGTGGCTGATGTTGTCTGTAAATACCCTGGTGCTCCATTTCGCCTTATTGTGCGTATCTTGACTTTCAGTTAGAGTAAACCTGCCATACACGAATCTAATGCCTCCCGACCTGCTGATAGACATCCACAATGCCAGACACAATGCAATTACGCTTACGCCTCGGCAATGACCACGAGGGCGTAAGGGAGACAGATATGTTATCGTTGATATTCGAACCCTGTGTTATATGCTGCAGGGTAGTGCAAATTGACGGCTTTTTTGCCGACACTTCAGGCCTGGAGCTAATTTAGGTAACATGACCTACGTGGGCATTTAGTGGAGCAATTATTGTCTGTCTTACAGTGGCTGGTACCTGCGCAATCGCAGCTGTTTGCCATAGAAGCCATTTCAACGCCCACCGCAGTCAGCTAGTTGCGTAAAATGGTAGAAAGCACAGCAATTGCCATGGCAACTGTCATCCCTCACATCTCATAAGACCACGGAGCCAAATATACATAAACCTTCCGAGCTGCCGACTCTTCCACCACAGGCGCGATGGCATCAAAGATGCCGCGCTGTTTGCCTTGAAAGTCTGGATAAAAGAGGGAAATGTGATTCCGTTAGACCCCTCTTTCCTGTCTCGCATTAATTACTGGAAAGGAATATTTTAGATTCTTTCAGCAAAAGGTAGGATTTATTAAATGGAAACGTTGTTTACGATTCCAAAAATATAAGAGCATACCTTTAGGCATAATGGATGTATGCTCCATCTCTAAAATCAAGGGGGTATTCAAAGCAACGACTTTTTAACCGACTCTCTCAGGCTTGGAGCTAAGTTGCTTATGTAGCCCCACTCATTAATCCCTAAAACCTGCATGTTTTCCTATGAAAACGGTGTTT